TATCTGCACAGCTTTGTTCTAGCTGGCCTTTATTACACTCACACCCCTAATCCTCACTCCAATCTGGGTCACGGCACCAATGCAACCAGCCCTACTTGACCAACTCCAAGCAGGATTCGAACCAGCATCTCCAACATAGGAGGTGTGTGCTATAACCAGGACACTAAAGACCGTGCCTCTTGAGGCCAGGGGAGTGAGGTTTATCTGTACAGCTTTGTTCTAGCTGGCCTTTATTACACTCACCCCCCTAATCCTCACTCCAATCTGGGTCACGGCACCAATGAAACCAGCCCTACTCGACCAACTCCAAGCAGGATTCGAACCAGCATCTCCAACATAGGAGGTGTGTGCTATAACCAGGACACTAAAGGCAGTGCCTCTTAAGGCCAGGGGAGTTAGGTTTATCTGTACATCTTTGTACTAGCTGGCCTTTATTACACTCACCCCCCCCTAAACCTCACTTCCGTCCGGGTCATGGCACCATTGTGACTGGTCCTAATCGCTATGATCCAAACAGGATTTGAACTGCCGTTTCCAGCATGGGAGGCAGGCACTTTAAAGACCACAGCGTCTAAAGGCTAGATTAGTAAGGTTTACTCCCACAACTCTACTAGCTGGCCTCCATTATAGAAGCAAACATCAAAATGGATTTATTTATTATGGTTTGGTAACAGTGTTTTGAGGTCATAAGGAACTGTGCACATTTCTTAAATACTGTACATCTATTTTTATCAAGAATGTAATCTGTAACAATCATTTCAGGAATAAAAGTGTTGGGGTTTTATCGCCACTAGTGTTCATTTCAACTGGGAACCACAGTGAAATGTGTGTATAGCTAAGTTTTTAGAGTTTCACATAAATATACTTTTCCAATGAGCCTACGACAAATGAGACTGTTACACGCAAACTAATTCATTGTAATTAATTACTGCTGCTCACTAGCAAATCCTAGTACCAACTCATTGGTTAGGCAAATGTATCCATTTTATCCATGTTTTCAATCATCTGCTGAACTACATCTGCCTTGAATCTGATGCATAATCAGCCGGTCTGTTGAAGCTCTTTCATTATCTTTCTCTCTGAACCTCTGTAATGTAGTCGTTCATTAGCAGGGTCGCCAGCGTCCTCTTTAATGTGAAGAATCAGCAGCATTGATCCACTCCTGTGAAGAGTGAGTCCTCAGGGAGGAGTGTAGTAATGAGGAGACACCTCGCTTCAGATGGCTTTATCCTGTATTCTGGGTGTTTATGATGGCTCTTATCATCTCTCTCCGAGGGCTCTGCTGCTTTATGATAGTGAGATTAAAAAGTCCAGACCGAGAGATAGGGGGTTGGTCATGAGAAATACAGAGGCGATAGATGTGGACAGGAAGGAAGATATTTGTGTGTTGAGGAGTTTACTGTAGACCCAGTGGAACATTTTATTGCTTAGGGGTTGCGTTTTCATTGCGCAGAAGATCTTATGGAGTTCTCGGTTATTTTTATGATATCTTAAGAGCCATCTTAAATGTCTTAGACATTTCTCCTAAAACTCAATTTCAGCTTCAGCAATTTTATCTGCCATTGGTTTTGTAAATGCAACATTTCCATTTTTAAATAAATCAGATTATCACTATTGATATATTAAAATATGTTGAATATGTTGACATAATTATCTATATTTAAATGAAAAACTAAGTAACAACTGCATTTAATTTAATCAGGTGGCTGTGTTTCACTGTATTGCAATAATAGTTTGTTATATAATGTGTATTTAAAAAAATGATGAGGACATGGCAGCCTCAGAGGAACTAGTCGTGTAAGGAGGATGCAGCTTTTCAAGTCTGAACCACTCGGTAGCCTATGTGTCTGTTTTCCTGTTTAAGATTATGTATTATGTTGGAATGTACGTAATAAGTAAAAATTAGATTGCAAATGAAAATAATTTTGCTTTTCTCAATTTTCATTCACAGGGTCTTTCAGAAGTGAAGGCATAGTGAAGGCGTCTGATGTCCTCCCTGTACTGAGAGAAAAAATAGCTTTTGTATCAGGTGAGTGTGAGATCTGTGAGATGTTCTGAATGTGATCTGTTGTCTTTTACTTTCATGTTTTGAGAATTAATTACGTTTGGCATTGGGATTTCATCGTTTGGCTCTGGTGTTGGTGGTGTCCCAGATAGCAAACTGACATTGAATCAACGTGGAAACATGACATCGAAACAACGTTGATCTGACATTGTTTTGCTCATCGAATTAACGTCGAACCAACGTCAGACGCGTCATTCTTTCAAAACTAACGGAAAATCAACTTGAAATCAACGTTGTTTCAACGTTATGAAAGCAAACCAATTTTCAATTTTCATTTAGCTTTGAAGAATGCCGCGTCTGACGTTGGTTCAACGTTAATTCTATAAGCAAAATCAACGTTGTTTCGATGTCATGAGAGACATCGTTTCCACGTTGATTCAATGTCGGTTTGCTGTCTGGGGTACCAGCTGGTGGGGAACTTGTTTTTTTTTTTTGTTGTTGTTGTTTTTTGGGCTAAACCAAATAATGAATGCAGAATAATGTAATACAGAACATTCAAACATTAAATGGGTCATGACATCTTTTGACATATAAGAGTTATTTGTATCATTAAAACATCCTGAGCCCTATTTTGATGATCTAAAATGCAAGTGTCAAGCGCAAAGCGCAAGTAACCTTGTGGGTGGATCTCGGCGCTGTTGCTATTTAACCGGCGGGATAAATGACTCTTGCGCTCGACCCAAATCTAAAAGGGGTTGGTCTGAAGTAGCTTCATTATTCATAGGTGTGGTTTGGGCGTAACGGGAAACAAACCAATAACAGCGTCAAATCACATTCCCTTTAACAGCATGATGAACGAGGTGCGCTTGTTCCATGGCGCAATACTATTATATCGGCACATTTACCAGGCACGCTTCACAATCGGCTCACAGCCAAGGAGATTGATGTTCTCGTCAGGGCCGTAAAAGAAAGAGAAGTGACATTGGGGATGGGAAGAACCCACCCAAATTAGCTTCGGTTAAATAATTTTGGTAAGCTTTATGCCTATTTTTCCCATCGTCATGGACACAACAATGATTTCCCAGCCCACTGGCGTTCAGTTGCTTAATGGCTGACATTTGCCTACTCTTGGTATAAGTGTCACATCACATCAAAAGTCACTGTCAATGTCTACACTGGATACTGTTTACTGATTCACTTTCTGAAGTACTCGAGTCCATGTCCTTGAGTCTGCCAACAAGTGAACAAATGAAAGCTTAAAGGAATGTTTAAGTCGTCCTGTCGAGTTGATTGATCAACTTTGGGGTGTAGGACACTGTGTAAACATAAAACCATGTCTCCATTTGTGATTGTAGAAACGAAAAACAAGCGCTACTCTATACTGCTCAAAACTCACGTTTGAATAGTCAGTAGCAAAGTCTTAAAATATGAACATACTACTGTGTCTGTGAGTCATAAGCATCAGACTGTACTTGCAAAGATGGAATTGCCCCACTTTTTAGAATCAGCCTTTGTGTCTGAATGAAGTGTTCTAGGAAAACATTGCTGAGCCTTAACTTTTACAAAGAATATCTCTTTGGGTTTAAGACTTTGAGCTTTGTAACTGCAGATGTTATACTTGCACAAACAGCTACATAACACACTTTGTATGTGTTAAGTGTGGTGATTAAGTGTATTGGAGAGTTCTTTAAGGAAAAAGATGAAGCAGTTGTATCGTATCTGAAGGTTTTATATGGATAATATTTTTAAAACACTAAGAAGTGGCGGTTGATACCGTTTCCTAAGCAGTGACATTAGCCAATCATAACAGTGGCCGTTTACTGACAAGCCTTAAACCCTCAAAATGGATCATTGTAAAGAATCTCAGGATGAGGGATGAAAATCATTTTTCAAATTCGTTTGTGCAAAAAAAAAAACTTTATTAACATTGTAAGGGAGCCTGCAGCAAGTAGGAATAGATTTTTTAAAATCCATGTCATGACCTGTTTAATGCAATGGGAATTACTAAAGCACATCCAGAATAAGATCTGTTATTGACTGGTCCTGATGTTATGGGATTTTTCTATGAAATATATATATCTCTCAGCTTGGGTGTAGAGGTGTTTACTCTAAACTTCACAGATTTTGACCTGTGGCTATTTCACATGCGTTGACATATTAACAGCTGGCTAAATTTACTGATCCAAAAATCTAAATATTGTTGAGGCACAGTGGTTTGTGTGCCAGTTAATCTTGTGAGATGTGAGATGAGCCACAAATCCGTGAGTACAGTTTGAGAAACTTTGGGAGCAGATTTCAAAAACTAAATTTATGAATTTGTGGGTACAGATTGAAAAACCAAACCCAGATAGCAAACTGACATTGAATCAACGTGGAAACATGACATCGAAACAACGTTGATCTGACATTGTTTTGCTCATCTAATTAACGTTGAACCAACGTCAGACGCATCATTCTTTCAAAACTAACGGAAAATCAACTTGAAATCAACGTTGTTTCAACGTTATGACAGCAAACCAATTTTCGATTTTCATTTAGCTTTGAAGAATGCCGCGTCTGGCGTTGGTTCAACGTTAATTCGATGAGCAAAATCAACGTTGTTTCGATGTCATGAGAGACGTCGTTTTCACGTTGATTCAATGTCAGTTTGCTGTCTAGGAAGGTACGTTTTACAAATCTAAGGTCACAGATTGAAAACTTATCGGTATGGTTTACCAATCCATGGGTGTGATTTATTCAAACTGACGTGACAATTTAAGAATCTGTGAGTGATTTTTCATAAACTGAGTGGATGAATTGCAATTCCTTTTGGCGCTCCATAAACATAATTTACCTCTACACCTTAAAACTTAAGCTGTGATTCCCCAAAATGCTGTTTTAGTTGGAAGCTCACTAGACATGCTCTGTTGTGAGTGTCATGTGTGCAAGGCTTCATGTTCTCTCTGGGTCGTTTACAGGAGGTCGTGATAAGAGAGGTGGCCCCATCCTGACCTTTCCCGCTAGGAGTAACCATGACCGAATAAAACATGAGGACCTGAGACGACTTGTAACATACCTGTCAACTGTGCCCAGGTGAGTTTTATGTTAATGTGTGAATTAACATCTCAGAATAAACTAACTGTAGAGCAGGCATGAGCATATGTGTCTTTATCCTGTATAAACAGGTCTCTGCTTTAACCCCAGGCCTTTCAGGGCAGACAGCCGCAGTACTAGAGTTATAAAAAATAATTTCCGGTAGCTCAAGCAGTAGAGCATGTGTAATGGGGGACAGCTTGTAAAGTGGCTGACTGACGCTAGATGCTGCGGTCTTTAGCGTCTAGTCCTTGTTAGCGTACCCACCTCCCATGCCGGAAAGACCGGTTCGAATCCTGCTCGGAGTGATACAAATAGAACTGGAGAGGTTACATTGGTGCCGTGACCCAGATTGAAGTGAGTTTTAGAGGGATGAGTGTAATGTAAGCCCAGCAATTGCTATGTGTTGGTAAACCTCACTCCCTTGATCTTAAGAGGCGCACTAGTGACTTTAGCGTCCAGCAAAGCCAGTTCGAATCCTGTTTGGAGTGGCTCGAGTTGGGCTGGTTGCTTTGATGCTGTGACCCGGATGGGAGCGAGGTTTAGAGGGTGAATGTGACGGAGGCCAGCTAGTAATGGCGCTTTTCCATTACCAGCACCAGCTCGACTTGACTCGACTCGGCTCGCTATTCGCTCCGTTTTCCATTGCAGACGGTACCGACGCAAATAGTACCCAGTCGTCATAGCGACACCTTTTGTTCATCATTGCCCATCAAGCTCTTGCTGGATCCTCTCTTCGGCAACCAAACAAAGGAAAGTCTGTACCTCCTCGTTTGACCACAGCGTATTCTTCCGAGTTGCCTCAATAGTAGTAGTAAGTTTAGTAACTGTCTCTGGCCAAACTATTTAAACATGGCAGGTTTATTCTGGACACTCAATCTGGCGCGTGTAATGATGACGCAGTGAAGGGTGACATTTTAGTATCGCCTTAGTTTGCTCAGAACCTCGCCGGAGGTGGTACAAAAAAATGACCTGAAAGCAGGAACAGGTACAACTTTTAAACAGAGGAAAACCAAACAAAGGAGAGTCGCGCCGAGCTGGTACCCAGATAGCAAACTGACATTGAATCAACGTGGTAATATGACATCGAAACAACGTTGATCTGACATTGTTTTGCTCATCGAATTAACGTTGAACCAACGTCAGACGCGTCATTCTTTCAAAACTAACGGAAAATCAACTTGAAATCAACGCTTTGTTTCAACGTTATGAAAGCAAACCAATTTTCGTTTTTCATTTAGCTTTGAAGAATGCCGCGTCTGACGTTGGTTCAACGTTAATTCGATGAGCAAAATCAACGTTGTTTCAATGTCATGAGAGACGTCGTTTCCACGTTGATTCAATGTCAGTTTGCTGTCTGGGTGCTGTGTAGTGGAAAAGCGCCATAAGAGTAAAGTAGTAAACCTCAAGAGGCAGATGTCTTTAGCGTCCTTGTTAGCATATCTTAGCATTTGACGGAAATGCTGATTCAAATCCAGCTTGGAGCGGTGCCAGCAGAACCGGAGGGGTGCTAGCTTCTAAAATCTATAATTTATTATTTTAAGAGTTCTAGATGTGTGTTAGCTGTGTGTATACAACTATTAAATTAAATATCCTGTTCGAGTATTTAGATAAACTGGACCCTTTGCTTTAAATTGCCAGGTCTGGTATTGTGCATGCTGTGTGTGTGTGTGTGTGTACATGTTTTTCTATCCTAGTTGGGACTGATATCTGAAAGCACACAGACTCATGGGGTCACTGTGGGGACCTAACTTGAGCTCCCTATGGGTACGCAAGCTTATAAATCATTCAGAATGAGTTTTTTTTTTTTTTTTGGAAAAAAAAAAAAAAATGCAGAAAGTTTTATGCGATGGACACCAGCCCTGAAACACACACTCACACACGTGTTTCAGGGCTGGTGTTATGAATACAGCTGACCTGTCTGAGCCACTGATCAATGCTGTCACTGCCCTCAGATGTCAGCATCAAAGTCTGTGAGCTAATCTGTGAACAAAAGATGGACTTAATACAAGTTTAATTAGGAGAAAGAGAGAAAGAAACTGAAAAAGGATAAAGGAATGGATGGAGACCCCTGTCTCTTTAAGCCTTTCCCACAAGCCATGATTCATCATCAGAGCTCATAGTGTTTTGATGTGTCGGTGCCTACAGGCATCTGAGCTTCAGTCCCCTTCAGCTGCTCTTTAACGTGAAACAGCTTTAAACTCCATGCAGATGAAATGAAAAGTGCAATTCTGGTTCACTGAGAGGTATCAGTTACCCTGTTTCATGATGTGATGTGGTTAAGTGTCTGAAATGTGTGTGTTTAGTATAGGAGGGTCTGAATGACTCCATGCGTTGTATTAACTGGGCTTTTTCCATTTAGTCAACCAAAAGTTATCCTCGTTAGCAAGTTGAACAAGTCATCCACATCCATTATGGATGTATAAATATCACACTAGACACAGAACCCGGCCCAGTTCGATTTCCACTCGGGAGCAGTGCTTGCATCATCAGTGTCGGATCAGTGTAAAGCAGTGCAGGCTGCTGGTTTGGAGAAGAGGGGAAATCAATGTTATTGAGTCAGCGTGCAAACTTCCCTTCAGGCTATGATCCATGCCCTGTGCTTCCTGCACTGGCACATTATATAGTGCTTGCGACACTCTCTCTTGTCTACGCTCCTGTTCACATTAAAATTAGTATTCTATAATCATTTACTCATGTCATTCCAAACCTGAATGACTTGACTTTTTTCTGTGAAGTAATAAGGGAAATGTTTTGAAGAGTGTGGCTCTTTTCCATACAATGAAGCTCCAAAAGGACAGAAAGCATCATAGAAGTATTATAAATGCCTTCTTGTGCTGTGCAAGTTCTGTATGAAACAAAAAGGTTTGGAACAACGCGTTTATTTGTGGCTAAACTGGATTCGAAATGAACACTAAATGTGAGTAAAATGGGCGTTTCTTGATTATAAAAAGACTAATCAATTGACTTAAAGGTGGAATACCTAAGATTTTTGCATTAAAATATCCCAAAATCACAAGGCCAGTGTTATATATTTAGTTAAGATGATAACTTGCAATATTCCAAATGTTTCAAACAATGTTTAAATCGTGAGAAAATTGATATTTTAACCAAGGAAACGGGGCGTGTGAGCAGGGGTGAGCTGGGAGTCGCCAGTCAATCGCGTCATATCCACGTTACCTCGGTTTCCGCTCGTACTGCGTGTAGTCCTGGACAAATGCGGTAGTTGTAGTTCAAGCAACAAACGTCAATTATTCTTTTCAGTTATTCTCGGAATGTGAACTGTTGGCTGTAAAGGGGGTCGCACACCGGACGAGAAGCGCCGCGCCACGTCTAGGACAACTCCACAGTAACGTTATCGAACACCGGACGCGCACTTTCTCATCAGTGTATGGCCAGCAATATTGTTATGTTTAATGACAGGAAATGAAGATAATGTCTGTTCTATGTTATTGTACTATAGAATTAAATACAATCGTTGCTGAGTCTCCATTCTGAAAACTTTACCTCAGATCATCCGTTCACTGAATGAATTGATAATCTCAACTGAAAAATCTAATAATAACATCAGCAATTGTTATTCAAGCAGCTGATTTCTGTAAATGAATGCAAAACTAAATGCATATTGCAGCATAGGGCGAAGTCAGGATCCATTAGCAACGATTTGAGACAAAAATAAGTCACTTCGTCCAGTGACTCGTACAGTAACATCTGTGATAACTAATTTACTTTTAAACCGGACTTTTCTTGCGGTTATTTCAGTTTAATGAAAAACAAGCATGTCATTAAACGCAACGTTTATAGAAATCGAACTTTACCTCATCCAAGACAACTAATTTTCGATTCCCGTCTGACTGATTTATCCACGGTGGAGTTGAAAACAACAGTTCCCATCATTCTGCGTTCCTCCACGTCGTCATCAAGCAAAGCCGTTGTTGTTGTTTTGAATGTAGCGCCCTCTAGCGGCATCTAAATCTTAGGTATTCCACCTTTAATATAATATTGGAAAAATAAAACGTGTTGCATTTACAATCAAATGTTTTTCCACTATAATAGGTGAATATAATATGCCAGTCCAAACTCTAGTATACATACTCCCGAAAAACTGAGGTGAAAAATGCATGACCTACTTCGTAGATTCTGAAGTGTGTATAGGGCATTTCAGAATGTTTGTAAACAATAGGCACCGCGATACTTCCGGGTGGCAGAACACGAGCGGCTTCTATTGACTAACTGAAGAGATCCAGCCGGCAACTGAACAATTACATAATTAAAATCATTGTTGTTGATCAAAGTTGAAACGATGGTGAAAACATGTTGTGTTTGGGGTTGTGACACCAGATATACAGCAAAAGGTGTAGGTTTTTTTTATCGATTTCCTTCAGAAAAAAGTAAATCTATCCAGCGAACCTGTGGGTGAGGAGGTTAAAGCGAGTGGACGTCGTCAAAAGTGCACGTCGTCTTCTAATTATGAGCCTGCATGAGCCCGATTTAAACCCAACCATTTTTAATACGTGGGTCATTATATAACTGACGTTCTCAACTAACTTAGTTAATTACTTTCTATGTTAGGCTACTTTCTTTTGAGCGGTGAGGAGTAAATGCTTCTTCATCGTAAATGCTTCTGATTGGCCATTGCGTTCAATAAATCAACACATATGTCTGTGATTGGCTACATCGCTCATCGCTGCAGTCATGTTATAAAAAGAAACTCTGCCATGTAAATCATTTCTATTTTGTTTTAGTTCTTCTTGTTGCTTTTCTGCAACAGATGAATACAAATGTATTCGTTTTTATTTGTTTTATTCATAGATATTTCTCTACTCACACAGTAATCTAATAAGATATGATTAATTTTGCCATTTTGTCCTCCTATCCGGTTCTGCATGTATGTAAGAAAGGCTGTAGAACTTCAATTTATAATTTGTTAGTTTATTGGTGGTACAGAAAACGACACAGCAACTCTTCGGCATGATTGTCCCATGTATTTCAATGAGCGC